ATGAAGTGTTTTCAATAATGTTCGATCTGTCTAACTTATCGGGAGTTACAGTAATGGAAGTTCGACCGAAATGACGTGTTAAGGCCATGAAAAGGCAAATTTTACTTACTTTCCCTTTAGTGGTTCCAAAATTAATTTGGACGTGGTTGTTTCAGTAAAAACACATATCTTTCCATACGAATAGGATTTGTATTCGCTCTGCCAAACTAAATAATATTTGACCTTTCTGTGAGCCATGTGGTTTTAAGTATGCTAATGTATGACCTATAGAATGAGTACAAAGACCTTAGGAATAAGTCGCACAAGCGCAAGAAAAAGGGATGACTTGGGTGGGACGCGTTACCGCGTCACAATGTCCCACGAGGTGCGCAAAGTGGGACGCGTTACCGCGTCACGCTGTCGTCAACGTGTTAAGAACACAAGAGCTGACAGATCTCTGAATATATCTGGGTTGTGCATCTAATCATCCATCTTTGCATTATAGCAGCTGCTTTGCCCGCATTTGAAGCTCGCTATTTCTTACACATATCATGATCAAAACAATATGGTAAACATACGTATGTCAATAAAGCCATATACATAAATAGCCTGCAAAAAGTTAATAGCTATACAGTTCGGGTAAGCATTCCAGTGTTCATCGCATTCGAAGAAAACAAGAGCACCTCGAAAGCAATGAGCAATTCCATGTTGAGTTTTCCCAAAACCTGAACATAAGAATGTGAACTCTGACTGATATTATTTTCTGTTTTTATTACCGTTTTTATGGAGCCGCTTCGAATCAGCGCTTCGAACGAAGCATGGCCTTCAGGGAACTGGAACTACTTCAGAGCACATAATTTGTGACTTCATGTGTTATGATGGATGTGTTTTTGTTGGCGAGGGAGCTAGAGTTTTTGGAGATGGAAAGCTGTTCAGAACGCCCGAAGAAGGGATTCTATCTTCTGGTTCATTTAGGTTTTTTTTGAGGGCTAAGAGTCACATAATGAAATCGGTTTTAACGATCTTATGGTGATGGAGGTGGTTTGTGATAGAAAACAAATTCTTTGAAAGTAACTGAACTGCTTAGTTTTGAGGTGAGCATTAACCTGCATAAATACTAACAATTATTATCAATAAGTGCACTCATTGGTAAAGGTAGTTAAATGGCACCGCCGCTTACGACGCGCACGGAATGGGGACCAAATCCTGATCACAGGTTGGCTGGTCGAACAAGGCGTTCCGGGTTGGTACTAGCCTCGCTGGAAGGGTAATGGCACTAAGTCCTACGTTCTTCTCCATTGAAGTATGCGTGGCGCATCTCAAAAATGGGACTAATCGCCGTCGGGAGCTTATTTTTCAGACGTATGCGACCAGTGCAGAACACGTGACCAAACGTTGACTGCAAGCCTTTGTGCGCACATTTACTCATCTTTTATTCACATGTTTGTCTCAATAATTACTAGTTCGCCACTAAATTCAAATGGTAATGAGTGCACTATTGTTCGCATCCGAGAATGGATATGACGAATTTCGGAACATAAAAATGAAGATTAAGCAAAACGAGTCGCTTTCGTCTGTGTGGGGCATATGTGTCCTGCGCTGTCGTCAATGGTGGAATACACCACTTATTTGTATAAAATCATATCGATGTCAGAATACTGATTTACAAACAAATTGGATTCCTTCGCACTTCTACGCCATCGAAATGATGAAACTTGTTCGAAATCTGAAACTGGTTAGTAGCCACGGCGACAAGAGGCATTAAAGGCACGGTTCGGGATGTCTGGTCGAAACTAAGCTGTTCCGAGAAAAGTGTAGCGGCACGCAAGTGGAAAACAGATACAAAACTTTCGGGTTGATTTGACCAGGCAGCGCTGACGGCGCAGGATGCAGCATTGGCACCGCCCAGCACCACCGAGTCCACCCACATATCAATGCTATTTCGTTTTGCTGCGGAGAAACGGTTTTATTTTCGTCGAAGGTTTCTTACAGTTTTTCCAGCTGGCGTTACTCTTCACTCCACTGCCCCTTAAGCGCAATAATACATCAGTTTGATCCCGTATTTTGCCTTTAACCTTCAAGCAGAGTCTTAAAGGCAAAAGTCAGGCTCGTGTTTGGGCATTATGGCGCCTGAAATTGAGTGTAGAGATGGGAGGTGGAACGACAGTGAAGAAAAAACGCAAAGAAACCGTCGACAAGACCGAAATCGAAACCCCTTCCCTTCTAGCAGTGAAGGAGGCTTGCTCGGGGGAGAGCCACGTCCAAACGAGTTTTCCGGATATGCCAGCCGTTCCATCGGTTGATACGGCAATCAACCTAGCTGATCTCACACGTTAGCGACAGTCTACGATCCTGTTGCGCTCGCTCTACTACTCGGGGACTGTGAGCCAACGATGCTTGACTTCGCCCGCGCCCGTCGGCCCACACTCCGCCGCGGATGGGCGGGAACAGCTGGATGAAATGGAAACCCATTGCTGGTTCATTTTTTGCCGCGGGGCCAGCTGATATGCCGAACCCATCTTGAAAGCCAGGCCAGAGGCCTTGACGGCGCGCAATCTCGAGTCAGGAGTGTGGCATCACCCCTCTGAGCGCATTCCTGGAAATATTAGTGATGGAAAGGCCTTCTATGGTCACCTAATCCTGACTCGTGGCTTTAAGGACGGTTAGCACACATATGAGTTTTATACGGCATTGCTTCCACTCTCGCTTCCATCGAAATGTATACGACCCTCGCTAAAGATTTGATCATTGCATTAGCTGAATTTGAACCTCCATGAGAAATAGGCCAGACCACGCTGACAGAAGATGCTCGGCGTACTTCCTCATCAAGCACACTTTCTAATCTAAATGCACATCCTATGACTGCCTCGACAAGGATTACTGCGCTCGAAAATGAAACAAGATGCAGTCATTGGTCGAAAAGTAATGATGAAAGGCATCGGGGAAGAGCCTGAATCTTTCATTGAGCTTTGAAGGCAGACCTAGGTAAATCAACAATCTGGAACGCTGCTCACGAAAATGAAGACTGAAATGGTAACTCAAACCTCCAAGCAGTTATGTGCCATTGCGATTTGGTAAATATTGCATGAAGGGCAATTAAAAAGAGATACGTACCTCCCTTTCAAAAACGAGAAGAGCGTCGGGTGCAGACCATACACCACAAGTGACGACGGCCTCCACAAAATGTAAATGTTTTCTGCCAATGAAATGATTAGCCTGTTGCAGTTGTATTCTATCAGTTGTCACTAATTACATCATTTACCAAAAATCAGCTATCACTATGAACCACTACTAACCAGATTTACTTGGAGGCCGTCGTCACTTGTGGTGTATGGTCTGCACCCGACGCTTTTCTCTTTTTGAAAGGGAGGTTATGTACATCCTGCAGACGTGTAGGTGGTGCTTATTCCACCCTTAAATATAATGAAAAGAGTGCACGTTGGCAGACCCCTTTAAGGATGTATTATATTTCAAACTCAGCTAATCAGTCTCCTTTCTAGACGAGTCTAGTACCAAGTAAATGATCGTGAGGGGTAAGGGTGGCTGTGCTCAGCAGAATAAGGCTCAGTTGAATTATTAGATATGCACGACATACTCGAAGCAACATAGTTGCAAGATCTGAGACTAAAACTACGATATTTACTGTGAACGTGGAGGTATCAAGGACAGGAAGTGGTTGTATCGAGACCCATCATTAGTGGAGTATGACATTATATTTTATTTCTAAAGCAGCTGTAAGGTTGGAAGGAAGGTTTTGCAACACTATTTCCTCAATTTTTTTCTTCTTGATTAGATGTTATAAATGAGCAACATATGGTAGGAAATCCCCGCCGCTCCCACACACTGGGTAGAGTAAGCATCCACAATCAGTAAAGATCAAGTGAGCAAAAGCGAAAAAAAAATTTAAGAAACTCCTGCCCTTAATGAATCAAACCGGACGGAGTCAGACATTGAATATGAAACGTTATCAGTCCGTAATACATTTCTTGGGTAGCTTCAGATCCTATAAGCTTGCGTGAGTACCTACGGTCACGGTGCGGTAACGGGAAAATACGCGCGGTTTATACTCGTAGAAATTCATTAAAGCAACAGTCCAGGCAGGGTTTCAACTACTTGGTCATTAGGCGGTCAAAACATGCCCCAGCCCAACTAAAGTTTATAGGAAATGTCTTTAAGTTCAAAACCTACCTCTAAAATGCGCTGGAAGGGGTCGAAGTCCTCTTGGAGGGGGCGGATCACCCATACCGAGGCGGATCGCTCAACATACGCTGTGCAGAGTCCGTGCTTGACTAGCGGTCGTTGCGGGACCGCCGCGCTGTATGAGGTCGATTCCATAAGAACGCAATTGAAGCGCTTCAATTTCGATTGCTGGCAAATAGTTATGTATTTGCAAGCATGCATGGCTATTTGCCAGCAGTTGCAATTGGAGCGCATTTACCGGAGCAGATTCGGACAACTCGTCCAACACACGTATTCCCCAATCGTTGAACGGCAGAGGGCATGTCCCTGTCTAAGCCCCAGTTGGGCGTTTTTTTTTCACTTTTTCTTTTTACGTTCGACCACTTTTCACCTACAACTTCCATATAGGTGCTTTTGGCCCGCAAATTCGTTCCTGGACTGTTGCTTTAACCACCACATTTTCGAGCGCATTCCATTCCGTCGCTTTTGCGCATCTACCATTTCACAAAGATCTAGGTCCTCAAAACAATTGGTAGGCAATTTCTCGACACTTGGGGGAAGAGATGGGGAAGGTAATCCAAGCCATAACCACCACACATTCACCTGCATATCCATAAGCCAATCTGTTGTTACTTCCATTCCAAAAGTTTTCATTAGTGAATTCGAAATCAGGTAAACTTGAAACAACATGCGGTGGAATAGAGCGTCAAAAAGTTGTGTTGTACCTGTAGGTGATATTTACAGATTAATACCCAACAAATGGGCATTCGCTTATGTCGCCCTAGGACCAGCACAGTATTTTGGTCCAACGGCATACTAAATAGGGTATTGTGTAGTATTACATGCACTATTCTACAACTTTTCTATCATATCCACTCTCATTCGGCTATCGTTATCATATACTGGTTCGACCAATGCCAACAATCAGACGATGCATAATCATATGCTTGGCGCTGTGGCTCATTGCATTTGCTCAACACGTGAGTTGAACTCCGATAAAAACTACTTCATAATCAACCTAATGTGAACTTCGTTTGTGCTGGACAACAATGCAGACCAACGCTTTTACTAGGGAAGGGTCATAGGTGTTAGTGGCCATATAATGAGACATGTACCATGGGAGTTTTTGAAAAAACATCTCCAATCCGCTTTCCGAATCTGCCAATCGAGCGATAGACGTAGTTATGAAACACTAAATGGAGTGGCGGCTGGAGGTGGAATACGGGGCACAGAGCGTTCGATCACCGAGCTCTTGACGTATTCTCTGTTTTGCGTTCGCTGCACCAAAGCTGATAATGACTTCTAACCACGTTGCGTGATCAAAGCTCACTTATGATATTATATAATCAGTACGATATAATAAAATTACCTGTACAAAGAGTTTGCGAGGAGCTTCTAACAAGTTCAACGAGCTTATTGCTAATCTCTACAAGTCTGCAAATCGCTCCTGTAGCGCACTTGCCAAACGCTTCAGCAGCAAAGAGCCTGTGGTGATCGTGTTAAAGGCAAGATTCAGGAATAAGTAATAAGGTAATACACTCAATCGTGAAAGTAGGGATAGGAAGTGGACCGCCAGTGAAGAAAAAAAGAAAAAAAATCGTGAAATACACAGGAAAACGAGCCTTTTGTTCGATGCTGTGGAAAGATCAAATGGCGGACAGGGACATGAGAGATAATGTGCGCATCGCTAAGTCAAAGGGGGGGGGGGAGAGAAAAGTTCACCGCGGCGCGGACGCGAGCGCGTGCAGGTGACGTCACAGCTGCGACAGAACTGCGACAAGAGGGCGAGATAAATGCGTTGCTGTCTCTTCGCTCGGATGATAGAAGGGTTGCTGGCACTCACTATTGGTGCAGTCAGTAGTGCCGTGAGCAAAGAGGTTGTATTGTGTGTAGGTACAATTTTCGCCGTCGAAAATTAGGAATTGTTTGCGAATTTAGAGGAAATGAACGGTTCCGTATTCAAAACCCAACGAGTGCGCAATAAAGTCGCAGTTGATTACAGTAACATTCTTCGTTATTACTTCTACTCACTGCACAGTAAAGTCAGAGTCGATAGTGTCTAATCGTAATCTATAAAGTACCTAGCGCCTTGTCCTTCACCAATCCCTCCCCTGTGCTATGCCTCAACCCTGACGTCCTGCACCGCTCCAAATCCGCGCGCTCGGTTGAGGCTATTTCCATGGAGCCAAGTCGAAGGTGTATGGGATGGGGGCGGGGGGAATTCACCAAAGCGGCTTGCGGCAGCCTACCTCCTCCAGTGAGATACTGTAATTTGCAATTCGCCTCAGCGCATGTCTAAATAAGTTCCTCACCCACCCAAATAGCTACATTCCGCTGGTTCACGGATTCCTCGCTTCGCATTCCAGAGACTTCCACTTGATCTGCTTTCTTGAAATTTTCAATATAAAGAACACTTTTTTTCAGATTTTATTCATATTTTCTCAATCTGATCCTCAACTCATACGAGCATACCTCGCGATTAACAAGCCCGAGTATAATCTTACCGATTTCATCGTTACCGGCAATCACACATGATCAAAAGTCCAACCACTTCTGTGACCTTAGCTACAATCGTACTACCAATGTTTCCTGTTTATGTGATCGTGATATATTTCTATAGAAAAGTTCATGGCGTCCTCAACGAAAACAATGTAGTGAGTTTCAAATGCACTGTTATTTTACGTAATATTGTAACACTAATAGTATATAGATACTTCGTCAAAAAAAAAAAAAAAAAAAAAGAGTGGAATCTCTGAAAATGATGCCTGCTTCACATGTGACCAGGACGCGATGTTAGACTACGTACAGTACTCGCCGTTTGAAATCGAAAATTCACGCGAATAACGCGAATCCTCGTTAATTTCGTGAATTCGTTATAACTCGGTTCAAAATTGAGCTTTCGAGAATCCGAAGATATCTTTGAATTCAGCTCGTCGGACACTATAAGAATGTGCTTTGATACTTTGGAAAAGCTCCATATAGGATTGCGCCATGCACTCGATTTTCATCTCAAAAAGTAGTTGCTCGCATGTGATGTGTATATAATCCCGCTTATGCGGGCTGACCGCTACACACAGAGAAGGGCCTCAAAACTTACCCCAGAATGCGCCACGTACTCAATCTCATCCACTACATTGTGAGATTAGATGAATGTTATTTTCCGAATTCTTAGATCTTCATTTCGTTTTTAAGCGCTTACTGGCTTTACGTGTTCCTGCTCTCAATATCCCATCCTCTGTATATCAAGTGGAATCTTTGAACAGGCATAGTGGGCCTATTATGTGACATTTTCCATTTTCAGAGGAGATGTTTTGCAGAAAGCTGTGAAGATAGCGAACAATTTCCTTCACTGTCGTAGACTACGGTCACTTGTCTGTAAGGATTATATGGAAACTTCGGTCGCAAGTGAGCGTTTCCTTCCGTGGTGTGACCCCCCAAACATCACCCCTTGTCATGCCTTTGCCCCCTATTACGTGACAAGTCCCATTTTTAGAGGAATGTTTTGTAGAAAGCTGTAAAGGAAGCGAAGAATTTCCTTCACTGTCGTAGACTATGGTCACTTGTCTGTAGGAATTATGTGGAAAACTCGGTCGCAAGTAAGCGTTCCTTCCGTGGTGTGGCCCCAAACATGCCTCCTCGTCATGCCCTTGTGGAATGTTCAGATTTTTTGCATTTCCAGATGAACTCGCAGACCTGAAATGTGCCCCGTTAGCTTCCCCGTGAAAATGCTATCGAATGATATGCATTACTTCCCCCAGTTGAAACTTTGACATTTCATTTTTGATGCTGGTGTCATTTGGCGCCATTTGGCGCCGTTTGGCGCCAAATTTGGCGCCACGGCTGTTTTCACCAAATCTGCTGAAACTTCGTCATTTGGGGTTATTTGGGGTCCTGATTACGAAAACGACACCCGTTTTTAGCGCTGGCGCCATTTGGCGCCACGGCTGTTTCCACCAAATCCGCTGAAAACGTGTGTATAGGGGTTATTTGGGGTCCTGATCACGAATATAACATCCAGTCTTGACGCCGGCGCCATGTGGTGTCACAAACAACACTTCACAGTCAGAGCGTACTCTTAGGCACCTTTCTCAGAGCGCCGACTGTCAGACCGTGGAAAAGGTCATCGAATCGGAGACTTTCCCACGACAGGAAGGAGCCAGAAGCATGTTTCACGTTTTCGACAACGAGAATAACGATGGCTCTTGCTACTCTTTAGCGACACAATCGTCAATGAGAGCTACTGGGCTTAGCCTTGAAGGACGTGTACGAGACGCTCAAGTTGAATAATCTGCACTTACTGGTTGCGATCCATGGGGTTGATGTCTGTGCCACTATGCCATTCATGTCAACGATCCATGAGCCTGATCAACGACGAACGGCACAACGGCTGGATTTGCAATCGTCGAGCGTGCCGCACTGGACCGTCGAACGAGACCAGGGTCTACGTTCATGCCCGAAAGGATTCCTTTTTCGAGAACTGTAACTTTCCTGAGTCCACGGTGTTTGTCGCGACTCTCGTCACGACCTTTTCAACGTGCAAGGTATGCGCCGATACTTTCCCGTGCTCCAGCCACGTTCTCACGCTATGGAGGACGAAATACTACGCCTTCCCACGGACGCAGACACTTTCCCATGGTTTGAACGCATGCAACATCCAGAAGTGCGGGAAGTGCTCTGCATCTCTGCCTTGGCCCGCGCTCGTCTGTCTGCAGTCGTCGTTCCAGTCGTCTCGCCGAGCGGTTGTGTCCGTGGAGTCCTCAGCCATGGTTGGAGCTGCCGTCAACACCATCATCGACAGCCAACGGATCGGTCGCATACCACTCCGCCGCTTATCCTTCCGATCGTGCCCGTAGGTTCCCATCTCATCTCTCTCTATATGTAGTCTCGCAATCTATTGTAATATTAGTATAAATCACCTTAATACTTAGTGTTCTGTTATGTAGCAATATCTACACATCTTTAGCAGCACGGTCGTAAGGTCGTCAGATAGGGGAGAGGGCCTCACCAGGCTCGCGGCAGGCAACAGTCGTCAGAGCATTCCTTACGCGACGCATCCCCCTAGGACAGGTGTTCGGGCCCTTCTAATACCCGTTCTGCCGTGTCCTCGGTGCTCCGCCACCGATGCGCTTCATCCACCACCACCTCGGGGCACCGGGTCGCGACAGTGTTCGCACTGCCCTATTTCTGGCTGCGTGACATGGGCGAGGTGAAGAACAAGGATTACGAGCTCAACGTCAGCCACACCACTTCCCAGTGGGAGCGGTTCTTCTGCGGACGTATGTGTGGGCAGCACTTCAGGAGGAACCCGCCCGATCATCG